ATAAATAAATACAAGAAAACACGAAGAAAGTTAAGAAAAATTATAGACATATGAAAAAGGGGGGAAATAATAATTAAAAAAATGACAAACAAGAGTTTAAAAGAAAAAAAAGGATGAAATTTTATTTGAAAAAACCGGAAGAAAAAAAAGATATAGTCTTTTCATCAGCCCACACGATTATATTCGCAAAAAAGAGTGCTTTCTGATTCAATATTCATAAGAAAATATTCATAACATATATAAAATTCTCACTCTTTTAATTTCGACAAAAAATAATTTTATGGTTTATTTAAATTGTATAATTTTTAATAAAACCATAAGTATAACAAAATATGACTGTTTGTTTTTGAAAAAGAAAAAGACCACGATTGATACAAAAGATTTTTTTTAATCGAATGAAAAAGTATTTAAAATAAGTAGAGTTTCATTAGCTATGATGAGTAATGCGCAAACTTCTGATTAATTTCTATTCTATGAAATAAGTGAAATGTATCATAATTATAACTCTACACAATATTGAACACCGGGAATGAAAATACAGAAAAAAATGATAGCTTTTGTTCAAATGATAAGATTTAAATCAACCAAGATGTAATTCTAATGATTCAAGAGTTATATGGAATACTATAATTAATTTGTGCTAGTGAGATTTTAAGTTACGAAGTGAATCACAAAAAATTATCTTCTGTGTATAAACACACCCTATTAAATTAGTTCAAATTACGTAATTTAAAATGAGAGTAGATGCAATATGGAAAATATGGTCCTAATAATTTAGTGAGGAAGTACATCGAAATTTTTTCATCTCACTTAATTTTACTTTTCTCATATACCTTTATTTTTCCGGATTAATGCTAGAGTCATTATTTATATATACGCAAAAAAGAAAAAAAAATCTGAAACAGCTTGCTTTTACAAAAAAACTCCATGCAAATAAAATTTTAGGTTGAATTATCTATATTTAATGCAAAAAATATATAAATATAATTTAATAGGAAAAATATCTATTTATCGTTTTTTTATTCATCTTTTAACTAGCTGAAAATCCGTTCTTTTGTTAATGATGAAAAAATAATGATAGGATAACTTTAAAACCTTGCTAAGCACAAAACAAACTAACGAAGTGTAAATCATTAAACCGCACAACGGTATATGAGCAAAACCTAAAACGAAAAATTTATTTAAAAACATTGATGTTTAACTTAAGATAGAACACTTTATTGTTTTTACAGAAAAGGAAACACTTTTAAAATTTTATATTGTCAAATACTTTACCCAAACAAATTCTAAGATTTGGAAATTTTCAGCAAAACTACTGTTTTTAATCATCTTAACATTTAAGACATAGATTTCATCATTCATACTTAATTCGTTAGTTTCAATGTCCCTTTTCAGGCTAATTCCAAGATTAGCGGCATATTTTCCCCCATACCACACCAGAAGCTCTTGAAATGGTAACACTTCTCTGTAAGTCTTGTAATAAATTTGTTTCTTGTATTGGATTGCCACTAAATTTTGTTTCTCTTCTTTATCAGCACAATTCACAAATCTCAACCAGTTGGAAATATCCTTTTTAAACCCTTCAATATAATGATCCACTCTTCCTCCCTTCCATATCTAAACAAAAAGAAAATTAACATTATCAATTGAACTTAATGATATTATTTACCATTCAAGCATTTAATTTTAAATGAAATTGATAATTAGTGGTTTAACTAGCATGAATATAGTAAATATATATACTTCAAAATATTATAATCATAATAAAGAAGCATTTAATTTGAAAAATTTGGAAAACACATAACAATAAGTAACCAAAGTACACACCGTCCAAGCATAACCGCTATTTTCTGCCTCTTGTTTTGTTCTAATAATCTTTCCCTTGTAAGGACCAAACACTGTTCCTATTGGCAATGGGATTTCTGTCCATATTCCGAGTCCTGCTTTAGGAATACTCGATATTCCAATCGAGAGAAAACTTGGAATTGTCAGCTCAGCTCGGTCTGATGAGTTTTTGGGAACCTATTGAAGCCATGAATGTTTCAAATTCACAAAAACTCTCTAAAGAAACAAATCTTGAATCACTCTCATTTTTTTTCTTTTAAAAAGATTATACATTTTTTTGATTTTTATTTTATTTTAGAACAAAATATAAAAAATTTAAGTAAAACTAATCTTTTGTATTTTAAAGCTTTTCCAATGGTATCACCACCTTTTTTGTGTCGATCCAAAAACTGATACTAGATTTACAACACTCAGGATATTTTCGGCCTAAAAAAACCACAACTACCGCCATCTTTGTCTAAGGCGAGTTTATTATATTTAGTTCCTATAAAAAGATGAAAAATTGTGCTTAAAAATTATACGTTTTAACTTGAGAAATTATTCTCTTTCTTAAATTTTGAAAATTATACACTCTAAATCTAGAAATAACAAAATATTGCCAGGCACTTCAAATTTTGGATATCCAGACTTGAAGGTACGGAATCTTCTTTAAAAAATAAAGAATGAATATCATTCTAGAGAAAACTTGCCATATAACACAAAAAAATACAAATAAAAATATGCACATAAGAATATTAAAGAGAATTCAGTGAATATCTGATAAAATATTAAAAAAATGATTAACAGAAAGGAGAAGATTATGACTTTAATTATTACTTTTAATTAAAATATTGCTTTTAATTAAAATATAACTTTTAACCTATAACTATCAAATCAACATAAATCAACTTTCATTAATTCACTATTAAGAATTTAATACTTACCTTTCGATCACATACCCAAATCATAGGGCCATGTTTTGGACAAGCACCTTTGTAGTCGCCGTCACAAAAATCGCAATCTTCTCATAGAAGAAACAAATCCTCAATATATAAAATATACATAAACATGATGCAGATACAAATAAATATGCATTGAACTTCGTAGAATTAAAAAATAACTTATATTTATTAAATTATTATGTTTTATAGTTTTGTCGATGGAGATTTTTTTTTATTTAATTTGTGCATATTAAATTATGTACTCTTAATTTGGCAATATTAGTAATATGATAACAGAGCATAACGGAAATTCTGGTTTTTAAAATTATAGTTCTTTAACACTTTTAGTAAAAATTAAATTTGAAGAATAAATTTAATCAAATAAATTGTTTTTATACCATGCTCCATCATGAGAAAATTACCAAATTTTATCAGATATTATAAAACCATATTTTATTGTTAATTTTACCAAAATCCTTGCCAAATCGCTTCGGTAAAAATTACCGAGCTTTTTGATGTTCCCCAAAGCCAAAAACATAGTAAATTTTATCATATTCCAAGCATTCCATTTGATCATATTTTTCTCGGTGTGTTATTATTATTATTACTGTTATTTTATTTTCCCTTTGAAAATTATCTTTCTTTTTGATTTGAGAAATAGTTCAATAAGTAAACAAAATAAAATGCTAAAACATTCAAATAAAAAATAAATAATAACGTAAGAAAGAGAAAAACAAGCATTTATAATTCGATTTTGTGTTCAACATTTTGTCTAATAGAATATAGAAATATAAATTATTTTTAATTAAGTTTCTTTTTGCTTTATAAGTATTTTTCTAAAATAATGATGCCAAATATTTAGTAAGAAGCTGTTAACGAAATAAATTTTTAAAAAAAATAAAGTTTTCATTAGTTTAAATAATTACGAAACGGGATTTCGCAGTATATATCCGTTTTAACGTAGACGAAGTGTTGAATACTTTTTTCAAACTAATTATCTTTCCTTCGTCACAATTTTTCAGTCTCAGTTTGGATAATTTCATGGTTTTAAAAAATGCCGAAAAATAAGAAGTATTTTAACTTTCCTTCAAGGTAAAACTTCATCTTTAATATTTCAAGCTTTAGATTGGTTAAGCCTTTAATGATAAAAAAAGTGTTAAGCGAATGATTAAAATTGATACAATTTAATATAGTTTCGAATAATTTTAGAAAGCAAGCAGCTTAAGAAAGTAAAACAAATAAAACCTCTAAAATAATGCTCATATATAACATGTAATAGTTTATCATAGTTTAAAAATAATAGATAAGTATCATATTTACAAAGGAACTCGTCATCGCTAGAGACATCTTCTTCTTTATAAGATTTTTGCTTGATTTTCCTTTTAGGATATCGACTTGGAGTTCTAAGCTCTAAGAAAGAATAAACTCAACTCTTAATTACATGTTTATTGGAATTTGTGTTGTTGTTTATAAATGACTAACATTGACAATATTTATAAATAAAAGCTCATATTAGATTTAAAAAAGAGTCATTAAATTCAATAAAATCCTCCTTTTTTCTAACTTCACCATAAAACTTAGTTTTTCTAACTCTATCAAAAATGTTTATGATATGTTTCGAAATTTAAATCATTTGTAACATTCTCTACTGAATTTTTGGAATAGCGTTCTGTTCACCCACCTTAATGTTAATTTCGGTTTTCGAGTTTTTAGCTCTAGAACTTACGTGGGTCAAACAATTTTACACTCAATTATAAAATACACTTACCAAAGAAAACTTTATATATGAAAAAATTATTAATTATTAATTTATATGTTGAATAAATTCTCTTACTATTTCATTTAGAAATTATCGAAAAAATTTGGATTTCCAAATTATACTAACTTTTATATCAGTTTGTGAATTAATTTTTTATGACAAAATAAAAATTTTTTAACGTAATCAGATAAATATGTTTTGTATAATAAGATTTAAAAAATAAAAAATTTTAATTATTTTTCTGTTTAACACTAGATTGCCTAAGGAAGTCATTTTGACTGATTTAAATTTCAATTAGAAAAACAATGATGTATATATAAGGACGCAATTTCTTAGAATTTTGTACAACATATAATTTTTTACTGCTAATATTTACTAATAACCTACTATATAACTGTAAATAATATAAAAATGTTAAAAATTAATTTTAAACAAATTTCTTTACACATTATTTATACTTTTAAAATCCAGTCTTTTTGACTGCTTTTGGACAATATAGGTATACAGAAAGTTTCCGTCTTTCTAGTGTTAAGCAATATTTTAACGCCTCTGCTCACATTTTTGACTTCACTTACAAGTATATATCAGCCATATTAAAATAATATAAAATAATTACTAATTAAAAATATTTTCATTATTCTTATATAAACTAATTTTATAATTGTGAACCAGATTTTTTGATTCGTTTAAAAAGTTCGTATGATATGGCGAAAAACGCACATAGGAAGATTAAGATAGAGGAGCGCAATCTATTGCCCGCTCTCTTGCTGAACTATTTGAACCCTATTTGGTATGTACAAATGAGTACTGCACTGTTTTCGTATAAAATATTTTTGATATAAAGAGCATTTTTTGTATCTGATTTTTAATGGGTAATACAGGACTCGTGCTATGTATTTAAAATTATTAGCCAGAAAATTAGCCAAATATCAAAATTATTCGCCAATTTTGAACTGTTTTCGCCAAATGCAAATTTTAACAATTCCTTGTGATTAATTTTTTTTCCCATGGAAAATTATTTTAGAGTATTTTGTTTCAGGGTTATATTATTTGGACTCAATTCTAACTGGTTATGCAGTGTATCAACCGAAAATTGCGGTAATCGAATTAAATATACTTATTTGTTCAGAAAAATTCATTTTCACGTAACTTAAATTCCCTTCTAGTGGAAAAAATCATCCACCACTACTTTTGAAATACACAATTTTATTCGCCAAATTTACGATTTCATCGCATTTGGCGGGGTGGGGAATGCTTAGCGCGGCCCTTGAGTGGAGAATGATTTCACAGGGTATATAGTGATTTATTCAGCTTATGTATATTACGGCTCTTCACTCATAAATCAGTTCCAGGGTCGTTAAATATTGAAGTAAGAGAAAGGTGTAAATGATTCTTAATATAGTGGTTAATTACCTCAAAACGTGGAACCGCAATACATCAAAATTTAACAAGTTACTTTAAAGCTGTGACTTGATTTTATTTATGCTATATATAAAGCATTTTTTCTAAATGACCTAGTCTTGGTGCAAACTGTTTTATGACCTTGAAACTCATGTAAAATTTCATCTTCAAAAAGTCATGTTCGTTAAACAAATTCGACAGAGATCCACATATTCTACAAAACGGAACAATTAAAGACAACATTTGACTTTCCAACCCCACTCTCTTCATAGAAATATATTTATAAAAGAATAATGATGTAAAATAATGATTGGTTTTCTATATATTCTAGCATTTCCTATAAAAAAAAACACGTATGCATTTTTAAAGTAAATTGAATCGTCCTAGCTTTGTCTATTTCATCTTCAATAACATGGTCATCTTCATGTGACAACGGGTTCCAAATCATTAAAATGACGCTGAGCTCTCTCCATCAAACTTTTTGCAAGCTTCTTTAAGCCTATCTCGCTTGGCTGAATCTTTACCTCTGTTTCCTTGGGAAATGCAATGAATTTATTGATGAATAAGAAATTTTCTTCTATATAAATTATCGTTTAAAAGATTCATTATTACTAAATAAATTAAAAGACAGAAAAAGTATTGGAAATAAATTGTTCTCTTTGGGAATGAAGAATATGTCTTTGAAATAGATGCGCGATATAAGATCGAATTTAATTCTCAGAATACCTAAGGTTAAATTCTATAAATATACAAATATAGTTATAATATACATGATCTAAGAAACCAAAATTTTAAAATTATGTTCTAAAATATAACACCAATTAAAATTTTTAAGTAATAACTCTTAAATCGCTTAACAAAACTATTATCAAACAAACCAAAGAAAAAAACAAAGAAAAAAGAAAGTAACGAATGTTTATACAACTGTAGTTTTATTTTGTTTTGCGGCTTTTCAACCCATATTCAGTAATACAAGTGTTATTATTATAAAAATGATTTTGTCTG